TGGCTGGGGGGGCCGGGGGGGCCAGGAGCAGGGAGCCTGTGCCGTGAAGAGCCTGAGAACAATTTGCCAAATCGACAAGTTTCTATCTAATGAATAAGCAAAGTCCGGCCGCGATGAATTTTTTATTGGGTGGCGGGTTTTTGGCACCGGGGAGCCCAGCGAAATCTCGCTAAATAAATAAATAGGCTCCTTTCCACTGCGCCCCCCCAAGCAACCGAAAAAAAAAAAAGGCAGTCCCACAAGGCTTCGGAAAAAGCAGCTGTTCTCTCGTTCGGTGGCTCCGAGGCCCGCGCTCACTCGCTCGCGCTCTCTCGCTCGCTCACTCTCTCCCCGTCTATTTATAAAAAAAGGACAGAAGAAGATTTCGTTCCAAAACCACCCCCCCCAACACACACACACACGCATGCACACACGCGCGCACACACGGTTCCGATTAAGCCGTCGGTACTTTTTTCTCGTCAATAGAGTTGCCGAATCCTAACCACCGCCCCCCCCCATCACCGCAGCACACAGAAAGCTACCGGGCCTCCAGGGACAGTGCGGCCCCAGCCTGTGCTGTCAGGGGGCCGTGGGATAGCCCCCCAAACCAGCCCTGCTAGCCTCCTGCCACAGAGGGGAATGTCAGCTCCTGCCCTTCCCCCTGGATCTGCTCTCACGGGCAGCACCACAATGGGTCAATACTGTCCCGAAGCCTGAGTCCCCGGCAATCCCTGTTGGCCTAAAAAAGCCCCCCACAAGATAATGCCCCCATAAATCCCACTACACAAAAGCGTCCAGGTTCAGGGCTCCCTGTGCACCAAGTCACCCCATTTCTTGCCCCCTGTATGGTCCTCTTTTCAGGGCGTGGCTGTGGGTTGTTCTACTGAGAGGAACTGGGGGGTCAGGAGAGGGGGAAAACACCCCCAAAGGCAGCAGGGCTGGGGACAGCAGGACACCGTGTGAGGAAGGAGGTAGGATAAAGGCTAAAGGGAGTGTTTAGCCAAGGAGGGAAGGAGGGAAGAAATGGGGAAAGGCGGAGGAGAGAAGATGGTTCTGGAAGTGAGGGACAGATGAAGGGGAGTGAAAGGGAATAGATGAGGAAGGAGGAAGCAAGCAGTACCAGGATTTGAGGAGCAGCCCTTAGCTTCCCCAGCAATGCCACAGAAGTGCACGGAAAGGGCCAGGCCATGAGCAAGCACGGCTGCCATCCCCCCCAATCCCTCGACCTGTCCACCCGCCTGTCCCACTAGACACTTACATGGCCCCCGTGGCTGTAGTATCGCAGCATCCTGGGGCCCAAGGCAGTGCGCCTAGAGCAGCCGGCCAGCCCAGCGGCAAGCTGAGCCGTGGCGCTCTCCTGGCGCCCGCAGCCAGGCCCACACCACACTGTCAGGCTCCCAGCTCCTGAGCCGGCTGCCAACGCCGCGCGCGTGTGGCTGGGAGGGAGGGAGGGCTGCGATGGGGGCGACGGCCTGCATTCCCCCCACCCCCCATCCCAAACCTACTGCCACCCGGTTGTGCTATGATAAAGCCGGCTGCGGCACTGTTTGCCTGCCAAGTCTCCCCCTTGCACACACGCACACGCAACACACATACACGGAGCTGCGGCATGTCAAGGTGCTCGCTGGGGCCTGGCTGTGCGGGTACCTGCGGCCACGGCCCGAACGAGGCGACACGCCCCTGCCAGGAGCCAGACAAAGGTGCACCGGCTGTTCCCAGCCCCCGCTTTGTTCGGGAAGTGAAAGGCAGTGTTATAAAATACCTGCCCCTGCCAACTCCCCTCCACCAGTGAGATTAAAAGGAGGCTGGGGGGGAGGGATAGACTGGTGCCACAGGGCACAAAAGCTTTGGAAAGTTAAAAAGAAAAAAGAAAGAGAGAAGGGGAGAGAGGGAAAGTGAAAGTGAAAGAGAGAGGGGGAAAGAAGTAGAGAGAGAAAAGGGGTTGCCCCCCAGAAGAAACTCTCCCCAGGGTTGGGCTGGGCCTTGCCACCAGCTGTCCAGGGAGGGCTGGGAGCCTCTCCCTGAGCTGGGGATCAGGGCAGGGGACACGGTCACAGCTGCTGGTGTTACAGCAAGACGAGCGAGCAGAGCGTCCTCAGCCGAGCCGGGAGCGTGAAAACAGCAGCCGGCGAGAGAACAGAAGGAGCAGAGAAGTGGCGGAGAAGGAGGGGGAAGAAAACCCCAGCGACCACAGGGGAAAAGAGAAGTTCCCAAGCTGGAGAGAAGAGGAAGGGAATGAGGACAAAAAGATGGAGGGAATGTGGGAAGGAAGAAGGGAGAGAAAAATGGAGGGAGAAGGGGGAAAGGAGAAGAAAGAAAGATGGAGGGAGGGTGGGCACGAGGAAAAGAAGGTTTCGCAGGGCGTTCCTCTCCTTTATTGTGCTCTCCCACCGCGCAGCCCAGGCACAGAGCCCTCGCTGGCGCCAGGAGACAGGGTGCTGCCCGGGCATGGGGCCCCAGTGCTGCCCACCCCAAGCTGGCCCACTTGGCATGCAAGCAAAGAAAGGAGGAGGGGGAAAAGCCCCCGGTGCCCTCAGCTGCACAGGCCCTGCACTGGAGAAGCCCTGATGGGCAACACAGAGTGTCTGCAGGGCTGGCCCAGAGCCACTCTTGTTAGCTGGGAAAACCAGAAAGTACCAGGGCAGGCGACAGTGGTGAATCCACCATGTTCAGCACCAGGACCGTGGTGGGCACGGGCCTCTGGGCCACAAGTGGGGCTGGGTGGCAGGGCCTGGCCAGACCCACCTGTCACCAGTGCTGGGGTGCTGGGACCAGCTGAAACTCAGGGGCATCTCGCTTTGTAGGGGGCATGAAGCCAAGGGGCTTGGCCTATAATTTAGCTCCTAGTAGGTGGGGTAGAGAGGTTCACCAGGGGGGTGCAACCTGGCCCCACAGAGGCAGATGCCCCCCAAGGAGGCAGGGGGCTGGACAGGGTGAGAGTGGGTGTTTCCCTGGTCCCAGGCCTTAGTGGCTGCAACAAATAAAACAGATCAGCGGGGAAGCTTCTCTCTGGGAAAGGAAGGATTGGGGAGGAGAGAAGACAGAGAAAAACGGGATGGCAGGGTAGGTCTAAAAGGAAGGAGGCAGCTAAACAACCTGAGAGTTGGAGAGAAAGGGGGATGCAATGGGACAGAAAGAGGAGGGATACAAAATAATTCAGATGGGGTGCAAAACGTCCTGGATTGTTTAGCCCAGCCCGGGAGCTTGGCCCAGCTCCCTTGGCTGTGCAGTGTGGGGTGACGCCCTGCTGCCCTGAGAAAGCCTTTACTTTTGGCAGGGGGGGGGGAGCACACCAGCTGGGCCCCACCCCCACCAGGGACTTGCCAGGATTTTAATAGCATGTTTTTAAGATGCCTCTTTCAGATCCCCCCACCCAAGGACCTGCTCTGAGCCCATGGGCTGGCTCCCAGCCTCTCACTCCCACCCCACTCCCCTCTGCTTCTCCCAGGTCTGGGAGATGGTTTATGAGTTTTAATAACTCCCAAGTCAAACTTTCCAAGTCTGCCCCCCTCTCCCCCAACACATGTGCATGTGTGCGCACACACACACACACACACTCACACTCTTTTCATTTTGGGTCTCTTTTGCGGCGGCCGCGTGTAAAGCTTTCCCGGGGTTGCCATAGAAACAGCCAGTGGCACCCTGGCTAACGAATCCCCCCAGGGAATGAACAGCGCATCGCCGCTGGCTCCAGGCCGGGTTGAGCAAGACCTGGGTCTCGGCGGCCTGTGGCTTGCACTTGCTGCTCCGGTCTGGGCCCGGCTGGAGGAGGAAACAGCAAGAGGTGGGGAAAAATCTTAGACCCAGAAAGTCAACAGCGAAATGCAGGAGGCCTTCTGGCAGACAACTGCAGGACCAGGAGCGTGGAAAGGGCATACCAACTTCTTTGCAAGAGGTTTTTTGGGGGGGGACAGGAGGAAGAAAAAAAGGCTCTGAGCCTGGAATAGTTCCTGCAAACTTTCTCCGCCACGCACACACTTTGCAGCCGCGGCCGCCCAACCACAACACACACTGTGAGCAAACCGCTCCCTGCCTACAGAAATCAGCCACCGGGCTCTGGTGTGGGGGTGGGGAGCGGTCTCCCAGGCTGCCGTAAGTCAAGTGTATTTCTCATGCTTCTTTTTTCTTAATGCTCAGCTTCCCCCTACCCCTCAAAACCTCCCTCAGAACGCTGGGCCCAATGCTGGCACTGAATTGAGGGTCCCTTGATGGTGAGAATCAATCAGGATGTACCGCTCCATCCTTGCTATATCCCCGTCCACGCGTGGCCCACACGGTGCTGGAGCTGTATCCCCTTCCAGCCCCACGCCAGCGCCTATACGTCAGTGAAATAATTATATCGGTCTGTTTTCTCTCTGCATTCTTTTGCTCTAACACAAAGTGTTTGCTTGGTAAGTTTTTTCCCTCTCTGACCTGCTTTGGGTCGCACAAGAGAAAACTGTGCAGCAGACTCAATGTCCTAACGAACTTGAGTTAATTAATGCTAAGAAAGAAAGAGGCTCCCCTCAGACACTTGAATCATGGTTCACTAGCCCTTTCAGTGGGCTATTTGCAAAAAAAAAGGGGGCTGCATTCAAATATTTTTTCGTGTGTGAGCAGAGAACACAAACAACGCCAAGAGCAGCAGAAGGGGAAAATCCGATAGCGACGGCGAAGCCCCTGCTTGCAGACACTTATGCGCAATAGGAAAGAAAAGGCCTTGATGTTCAGGGGATAGATCTATATATACATTTTTTCTCTTTTTTTTTTTTTCCTTTTGCTTCAGGACTGTTGGCAACAGCAAGCAACAACTAACAGAGGAGAGGCACGAGCTCGGCCGACATCCCCACCACGCCGGCCGGGCACGGCAACGATTCATACATAATTGAAGAAAATGTTTTTAACGCTTCAGTGTGGGGGGTGGGGGCTGTACCAGGGGGACCCGTCGGGAGCTCGGGACACAACAGCGGATGGGGGAAGAATTGCACCGGTGGCTCAGTAAGAGGCAGGGTCGGGGCAACGAGGGAGAACGGCTGTTGTGATGTCGGCTGGATCCTGACCCCGATGAAACTTTCCGAAACCAAACTCCTGCCAGGAGGATGACATTGGGTCTGTTCTCAGGAGAGAACTAGGGAGGCGCGTCTAGGTCAGGAAGGACGGCGGGGGAAGCAAAAACCAGCCCTATGGTGCATGCTGATAGGAACGTCATGGCTACAGCCTCACCCCATTTTGAAACAGACAGTGAGACGGTGAACCCAGGGAGTCATCCCTGAGACAATTGCCCCAAGATAGTCCCCCCACCGGTCCCCTCGTTACTGCCCCTATTGCAACCCAGAATCTGTTTTATAATGTTCTGTAGCTGCTGTGAAAAAGTGGGATGCTCATAAACCCAGCCCCCCACTGGCTCTCAATCCCCCATCGGCCCCGTGAACACCATGCCAAGTTCCCTGCCTCCTGTTGGAAGTATAGGGCTGTGTCGACCAGGGCCCTACACAGAGTTCGGAGGATAATGGATTTTGCTGGCACAGTTTGATTAAAACACATTTAGGCTTTCAAGGGGCCTGGAAAGCCCCGCTCGGATGGCAAGTGAGCCTCATCTCCCGCTTCAAGTTAATTAACGAGCATAAAGTGCTCGGAGGATGTAAAGCGCTATATAAATATTATCATTGTTATTATATGATTAGGGGCTCCTTTTGTGCTCGTTGCAAAACCACTCCGGAGGCTGGTGCAATGAGTTCTGGGTGCACCAGGGCTCAGGAGGGAAGGCAAGACTGAGGAAGCAGGGAGGATGGCAGCCCAGTGTGGAGGGGATGAATCAGCCGTAGGCGCAGAAAGTCAGGAGCTATGGCCTGGGACGAAGGGATGCCTCGGCAATGGTATGGCAGGGCTGCAGGCTGGGATGGAGGGACGTGTATATGTGTGTACACACATCAGATGAGGGAAGTGTGTGTGTATATATAAGTATATACACATGTATATATACACACACACACACACACACACAAGGCATGTGGGTATATATAGACCCATATACATGTGTGTATAAGAGTATACATATGTGTATATGTATGTGTATCTATAAGTATACACACGTGCATGTATACATATACACGTATATGTGCATGCATATGAGCGTGTGTAGATATATGTACATACACGTGTGTATATACATACACATGTATATGATGCATGTGTATACACACACATGCACACCCTGGAGCCAGGGCTGAGGGCTCTGTATGTCAGAGCAAGACTCCCCGGCCAACTTACAACGGATGGGGAAGAAAAACAGCTACCATGGCTCTGGTCAGCCCCCCCACCCTTTGTTCCTATGAGCCCTTAAATTCACTCCTCGTTTTAAGACAGGAGGGAAGCCGAAATAATGGAAGCAGTGAAGGCAAAATACCTCCCACGACAGCTCTGCCTCAAGCTGGAAAGAAGGTTTCACTCCTGTAAAAGCCCAGGCAAGGGATCCTTGGCAGGCACAAAATCCACCACAGCCGGGAGAGAAACCCCCAAAACTACAGGAATTTAATTAAACGTGAAGCGGCTAAGAAAAATAAAAGGAGAAAGCCAATCCCTCCATGTGAAGAGGAGCTGGGCCCGAGAGCTGCCAGTGAGGTTGGGGCCCACACCTTTGTTGGGAGCTTTTTTGGAAACACAATATTGTTCCGTGGCTGCTTTTTTTTCTGCACAGAGTAAAAAAAAATCCTCTGCACAGCCACTACCT